GTATAGGGGAGAGTTTTCGTTTTAATATATCTTAAGCAACGAAAAAACTTATTTAAAAACGGATTTCAGCATTGAAATCAGCGTGGAAATCTAGTTCATAATGATGTGTCACAACACTATAATTACATTAAAAAATATTTATATCCAATATGGCATATCCAATATGGCTGATCCAAGATGGTGGCCCAAAAAGCGTTCCCTATTGAAATTAAGTACGGACCATCCAATAAATATCGGTCGTGGTTCCAAGTCTCAAATATCTCGAAAAATGTGCAAAAAAACATGTGGTATCTTTTGTTGCAAAATTTGTCCAATATTAGGAAAAGTCGCCATTTTTTCTTAATTTAGGGGTTTCCCGTGGACTGATTTTTGCTACTTTTGGTATGTCACTCTGCACACCACAACAATAAAAATAAAACCATAAAATGTTTACTTGCAAATTTTTATACGATCCCTGTGTCTGTTTTTTTTTAGTTTGCTTGGACTATTACATTATTTTATAACAAATATTTTTATTTGAAATATTTTATTATTTTAATGGTGTTTATTTTTTTGTCGTAGGTACATGTATTTGGTATCATGTTAAAGGTAATTTCAGGAGGAACATTAAATGTATTGACGACTTTTCACCAATATTGACTGCAAAGTCAGAATTTCAATAAAAAGCAAAAAACTACAGGATTTGGCCGCCATTTTGGAAAAATGGTGGTGTTCCACCAAAGATATTTTTGGAGACTTTTGATATGTTATTCACAATACTTTTCACTATCGAACAACAATGATTTCATCTGTGTTCTAATTATTTCTAGGTCAAACCATATATTCAGGGGCCTATATAGGCAAGACTCGGTTAAGTCCCTATAAGACTTTGACTCTACCAACTTAAAATACTTTCATCTTGATAACACGATGTAGGCTTATCGAATATAATGTTTTTAGCGCCGTATTTATAATCAACGGTATGATATTTCCATGATGTGTACTAGGTACACAGTTATAAGTCACACTAAATTAAACTACGACCTTATTGTCAAAGTTAACTTTAACATGGCTTTAACTTGAACGTAGCTTAAACTTTTACATTTGAATTATTTCAAACTAACCTGGAGTACAAAATGTTATTATAGTATTACAATGAAATAATACACGAAAAATTCGAAATCTTTCAATCAATAACATTGTTGTCATCAATTGTTGAAACATTGAAAAAAATGTTATTTTTGTTACCACTTAAAATTGTTACAAGAGTATACATTTGTACTAATGTGGGCAGTTAGTCGTTAATATTTTATTCTAATCAAAGCTTAGAATTCCTCAAGTAAGAAGTGCAGAACTGCTGGCCTCAAGATAAAAGAATGTAAATTTTAATGCATGCAAAAAAAAATATATTGGAAAGCTCATAAATATTTTCTCAAAGATAAAATAAACACTTTTCAAACTTCTGATTAATCAGATGATTCCGTATATGGATTTTTCATTACTGTTCTGTCAATTATTTGTTGTTGTTTTAAGGGTGAATTTCTTTAGGGCTCCCTCCCCCACTTGGGTTTGTTTTTTTTCCATCCAGTGCTGCTAACCAACTTCCTTTATAACGCTAGTTTAACGCTATTTAATTGAATTTAACGGCTGATCCTTTGAATATTTAGCCATAGTCAGATAGTAATCAATACAGAAAAAGGTTTATGAAGATGGATTTCAAATAGGGTACATTTATTTTGGTAATAATCACCTGAATGAAGTTTGTAAATAACTCTTTAAGGCCCTACAATCTACAAATTGCATTTCTTGTCAATTAGTAGATTTACTAACATTAATTACTCTATCAAACAAACATTATCTTTGCAAAGTTTAAGTGTATAACATTATTTATTTTGCCTCTGAAATAATTGAATCTTACTTACCTTATCGTTAGTGATTATCGGGTGGTACACGAGACCTAGGAAACTGAAGCCGCGCGTTGTATTACCCTCCTTACTATCAAGTAGAAGCGTACAATCGGTAAAACATCTTTGTGTTCACCGTATTTAACACGCATTTTGCCATGTTAAGGGGTGAATATAAATTCCAACGAGAGTTAAAGTGCGTAAATCATCTGTCAGAGCGCGCTAAGGCTCTCAGAATAACAACAGTTTTAAATCTTTAACAGAGCCCGAACACGGACACCGTTGAATTATAGAGGAGGTTTTCACGAGATCATGAGTCCTGAGTAGAATACGACAGAGGATTTAGTTAAGATTGTATTTTCATCGCTCTGTACATGTAGACATTTTTACGGCCGTCAAATAATATTCTTAAACTCTATCGTCTCTTATCGTTTCCAAGCGATCGTTTCTTAAACCCTAATTTATAGCAAAGTGAAACCATAAGATTTCACCATAACCAAAACCATAAGATTTTTATATTGCTCTTAGTTTACTACCTATCACTACTGATCAGTCTTTATTTTCCTAATGCTTTTGTTGTTTAATAAATAAAAATTGTTTCAAAAATAATAAAAATGAAATAATGTTTTTCATTTTAGTTGGTTCCATTTTTCTGCATCCTGAGAATTGAACATGCTTAAAAAGCTGCCTTTTGGTGGTAGATCAATCTTATGAAGTTTAATTTTATGATTTTGAACATGTTTATTGTCCCCCAAAAATGGGGATTTTGTGGGCAACTCAAAATTTTTAAATGTAAACCGCCTTCAAGTGACACCTCATTTTGAAGAGTTTATAAAAGCTTAAAAATTTTGAAAACCAGAGTTCGTAATCTCTTCTCTATCCAAAATGGTACCTTGTGGTACAACTACCCGAGTATTTATGGGCTAAAATGGTACCTGTCTTGGTCGCTCCATTAGCAGCAGAGTTCGAACCACGATCTGCAGCGCCCTTGCATGCACACTAGCGGTTTAGTGTAACGCCGCGGTAGACGTGGTCCTGCATCTATCATGCCGCAAATTAATATTCGTAATGTTGTTCTCAGTGTACTTTTAGTTTGTAGACGACGCGGGTCACAAAAATGTGCCGTGCGCGTCACTTTTATATATAAATACTCAGCGCGCGAACAATATCTTACTGGCGGAAGCGTATCAGCTGTCAAAGGCGATAGAACTAAAAATGTCCAGGAGCCAAAAATCCTTATTGAGCTCGCCGGACATCCGGCTAAGTCTAACTGCAACTCAGCCCCTAATTAAAGATAAGTATTTAAGTATTAGTAGTTAAACTAATAATCAGGGGAACCTATATTAGTAGAAATTATAAAATAGTTTAATCTTTAGTTAGGGGTTGCCGGGGAGAAACCAGGGGCTTTAGGATAGTTTTCTAATTTAAAATGTAAGTTTCCTCCTTAAGAGGAACCGGCATTTAGCTAGTTGAAACAAAGTCAAAATGACCATGGTTCTAAATCGTTTCATTATTCTGTGCTGTCAATCTGATTAATTTATTCACATATTACCTCACTTCAATCAGGTTTCATATTCCACGGTTAGTTCATTAATTAGTTCTTCATGTCAACGCAATTCTTAAATTTCCAGGTAGTGGTTTAGTTATAAGATATTTATGTTATAATCACAGCTCATAAAAAGCTGGCTTAAGGTGTTTACGGCAATGGGCACGATCAACCTCAGGGTAAAACCCTTCCTTTAAAATAGACAGTTGCAGCCCTTCCTAACTCCTCAACATTGTAGTAAAATTATTATACAGGGTGGCTGAAAAGTGACTTACACCCCACCTTAACGTTTCAACCATTTGAGATATTTGAAATCTATTTGTGGCAACCTTCTTAGCTATGAGGGGCTACAGTAACTATGGTTAATTTTGAAAATTTTGCCCTTAGGGGTAGTGGGGGTAGGGGGTAGCTCAAAATTTTCAAATAAACGAATAGTCGAGTTTGGTATCATTTTACAGTTCTTGACAAAACATGACAATTGACATAGTAAAAATATAAATCGGACCACTAATAACGAAATGGCACCCTATTACGTTTAAAATCCAAATAACCATGAGGATAGCTGAAAATTAACTTGCACCCCCTTAAACTTGTTAACTATTTGAGATATTTGAAATTGGTTATTCGGCAACTTGTTAGGACATGACGGGCTATGATAATAATGGTCAATCCCAAAAAATTCCTTTATGGGTAGCGGGGGTGTCGTAGTAGGTCAAAATTTTCAAACAGCAAGTATAGTCGAGTTTTATATCATTTTACAGGTCTTGACGAAACTTTACAATTAAAATAAAGAAAATATAAATTAGACCATTAAACAACATGGCAGTAAAAAATGTTTAAGACGGTATATTATTAAGCAGTTATTATTAAAAGTAATTATGTCAATATTGTTTTGTTTCGTCAAGACCTGTAAAATGATAACAAACTCGACTATACTTGCTGTTTGAAAATTTTGAGCTACCCCCTACCGTCACGACCCCTAAAGGCAAAATCTTCAAACTTGACCATTATTATTATAGCCCCTACTATTTAAGAAGGTTGCCACAAACAGATTTCAAATATCTCAAATGGTTGAAAAGTTGAGGGAGGGGGGGTGTAAGTTACTTTTCAGCCACCCTGTATACATTGCCATGTCCTAACCCTCACCTATCCAGACCACTATGCTATTATTCCATCAGGTTCAAACAGTAACAGCCAGTTACAAATTAGCTCCGTATCGCTACAAAAAGAAGGTGTTAGATTAATATAATTGCTCCGCTCAATATTGCAAGCAGACAACTACATTTTACGCCTATTTAAAATTGAGATAATTCTATTTATATTTCGTTTATTAACAGTTGACCTTGGCAAGATGTGTTACAGGTGATACACGTGTCTGTTAACACTTGGAGGGAGGGGTTTGTAAAATACTGCTCTGCCTGATTGGCAGAACACCGACTTGCGTAGCCCACTAATTACAGTTTGACGTTTTAGCTAACTATTCATTTTTAAACTGTCCAATTATGTTTCCAACTGCTCGCGTCACACCATTTATCCCATTGACGTAGATTCAATCGTCCAAAAATAACCCCAGTTGGAATAGGTTCAGAGCAACTTCGAACTGCCATGTCTTCCCTGCCTTTGAGTGTTCTTCTGCTGATTGCGGTAAGCATAGATTCAAGTAATTCTAAAAATGTGTTTGATAAATTATAAACACTAGTCCCTATACCTGTGCTTGGCAACGGAGAGACGACGGAAATAGAGACGTTAGGGGGTATAAAACCCTTATTTTTAATTGGTGGCAGCTGTCATACCTATACTATAGTATTAGGGGGAAGTACTGTTTTTATTTTTCAAAATTGTTAATTTAAAGTTTTGGGTGTAAATATTTGTTTTAGGTCCCCCTAAACCCCCATAAATTGTTTTCAAGGTGATATCTGTATTGGGGTATGTGAGAGTGTGTTAAATTCAAACTAAACTTTTAATATGTCACCAAATATAATCTGGAATAGGTTCCCTGTAACAGCAAACCTAAGAACTCACTAGGCCTAATACAACTTAAATAGGTGATGAATTTGATATTTTAAAGGAAATATATTAAACTGAAAATCGAATTAGGCAAATGGAAATTTGCTTGGTCTGTAGATTTGCTGCAGCGGGGGTATTGAGTTTTTTTACACCATCGACATTTGTTTACATTTTGGTAAGCGATTATCTGAGTCATTTGTTTTATTTTACTTAGAATGTTTTGAAACGGAAAACGCACCTAGATAAAAGGAGGTTGCCAATTGTATGACGACGGTGGTTCAACATTTCTAACCAACCGTTAAGTTATAAGTAATTTACCATAGATACTTTTTTCAGGTCCAAGTATGGATTAGCAGTGCCATCACTAGTGAGTATTACTTTAACGGCTTTAACAATAAAATTCTGATAAATCAAAATGCACCCTTTTCTCTTAGATTGGTATTAAAAGTGTAAAAAGTATTTCTGTATGTGATATTTAATGAAATAGCGTTGTGCCTTTTTAGAGAGGGACTTCCAATGCGTGGACAGTTTTGTCTTTCAAAAACCTTTTTACACAATAGATGCTATAGTCTGTATGATGGAACCTTTCTTCTAGCCCTCCGTCTACCTTGGACTGGCCTGGGTCACCATTGACCAGTCCGCAGGTAAACGGTGGGTTAAAAAACAAGTCCCATCACACAGACTATACAACTTTAAGTGCGTTTTAAAGAACAAGGTGACAACATAATTTTGTTGCTGAAAGCCATTCATGGTTGGCCAAACTTTAGCATGGGACCTGAGTACTATCTCAAACATTGACCCATAAGAAAATCGCACCCAGACCTTTTAGAGTGTGTATGATGGTGGCTGTCTGACCTGTTTGTTGTGTGCTTAAGCCAGTGCCTAGGTAGATATAGGTTCAGGAGACAGGTTTCAACATACAGAGTATAGTATAATTAGGAGCACGCTAGTTTAGTTGGAGGACATGGGGTTTCAGTCTCAAGGGTTCGTGGCTCAAAACCCGCCAACCACCAATGGATTTTATCCATTCAATGCCGCGTCTCTTTAAACCGAGCCTGTAATGTATTTTATGGTTTTGGCCTTTATGCGTTCTTGAGAAAGTAGGACATAAATAAGTAGCTCATCTCTAAATACCCCTAACCGGTTCTATTAACTTTAAGTTATTCGCATTTACTCTCGCCCGATTGCATCCACCCTTATGATCCATCCACTGTCAAAATAGTATATTTCGTACCTAGGGCCGAAAATGAGGTTTTGCCGGCTCGAGATAGTTTTTAAGTTCGAGACGAAGTCGAGAACTTAAATCGATCGAGAGCTGCAAAACCATTTCGGTCCGTGGTACGAACGCTATTTTTCACCACACTTTACCCTATTACCACTATTCACCACTATAATAATGCACACTGATAGTCAACACAACTACAACTTTAAGGTTATGTGAAGAAATAATTTGAGGAATCAGCAAAAATAAAAATAAATAGTTGCTAGGCAACGATGACAATAACACAATTCTATTGCAATGCTATGGATTTTGATTTATTTAAAATGCATTCATGTTTTAAGTAAGCAAGCGGACAGCTGATTTTGCGGCCCCGGCCTGTAAAAACCTGCTCGGTCCCCAAATTACGATGACAGCTGGCATGGCCAGCAAAACGTAACTTTCAGCCACCAACTAACGTATGTAATACAGCCAAAAACATCATAGTGTGGTAAAAATATTTTTTCCGTTCGCTAACCTAAAAATTTGTTTATATCACATTGGTTAACGCTGCTAATCACACGATATCACCACGATATTGTACCATCAGTTATCACCTCTTGGAGCTTTCCACCATTTCTAAAAACAATTACTTTGGATGTATCCAAGTTAACGGTTCCGTGTGTCACAGTACCTCTCCAAATTGTTGATCATACGCTGTAAAACTGTAGATGTAGGGGCGAGTAAGACGATGTCGTATACATACATCAACATATTTATATTGTTTTCATCAAAATCACAGCCACCTCCCATTACTTCTGGCAGGTCGTTAACAAACTAAACATGCTAGGACTACATACACAGCCCTGCCTCAAACCTATAGAGTTGTCAAAACTTCCATATACAACGTCTTTGCACCAAACTCCAGTTGATGTACGGTACCTGTGTACTAATCCCGTAGAATCACTGTAATTTTCGTTGATACCCCAAGGCACGATGATTTGGAAATTAAAGCCCCTCGGTCATTGGTATCAAAAGCAGATTTGAAGTATAACAATCATATGAATATTTTATTATACATCCTAAATTAAATATGTTGTCTATTGTTGAGTACCCTTACTTAAATTCCACTGTAATTTTCAGATTAAGATCACTCCAGTCTAGGAGTCCAAAAATCAAAGCTAAAAATAATTTCCCTACAGACAATCGATAAAAACCCCTCTAAAATTCTCGGTGGAATTTTTATTCCCTTTTATGAACAGCGGAAAAATATTCGACCTTTTGAAACCCTCAGCACCCCTGAATATGTTATAAATAATCAATAAATTCAACAATAATACATTCGTCACGTGAAAAAAAATCATAGTGTTCTGTCCCTACAAGCCACTAGTATTGTTTAATGTTGTTTAACATGTCTTGTTTCAGTCACTAGTTTTTTAACGGTACTGCAGTTAGATGCAGATCCCGAAAATAAGTTTGGTACGACTACACAATCTTGGGTCCTGGCATGCCACGAAACAGGTCGAGGAAATATTGGGAGATTAACCACTCGGGCCTGGCCGATTCTGCAGGTGTTTATGGTCTTTGACAAGAAGTGCTCAGTGGAAGAGCTCAACGGATATCTGGCTTTGGACGAGCAAACCCTAAAGATGAGATATATTGTAAACGGGATCGTCATGGAGATTTCTCTCTCACAACCACCGACTAACCCCAATAGCGGTACGAGGGTGGAAGGTATCAGGCACCTACCAGCAAACGAGTGGAGACTACTCAAGGTTAGCCTTAGTTTTAAAAGTGCAGTTATGTTTTTCAAGAAGGGAGCCCCTACTAAAATGGTGTATATTAGTTTAATGGAAACCGTCCTAATCTAACTTACATGGTTCAATATAACTCCACTTAACCTAACATGACTTAACCTGCCATAAAAGAACATTTAAGGAAATTATAATAGTGGCAACCCTCTTTTTTTAAATACGTACAGTTATTAATGTAGTTTAAGGCGGGATTTCCTAGCTGCCAAATACGGCTCATTTTTTCAACACCTACTAACTACACGAGGACTAGCTGCTGGCAAGGGAAAATCTGTGCTTAAAAGGTTCAGATAACTTAAATCCTGCAGTCAAGTTTGGCTGCTAGGAAACCCCCCTTTAGTTTTTAGTAAAAGAAGCTCATTAAAAAGGTTTCTTAGCAAGTGAACATTTTGTCCATTAGATGACCACCCATTGCAGGCACAGTAACACTGCCTTTTTGTGGATTGCAGACATACTTGTAATACCCTTCTAATAGTTTGATTCGATCACTTTAAATAAAATTGTAGAAGAGTTTACCTACGTACTAAGGAATTTTGGTTCAATATCAGAGTAACTGTAATTGTTACCAAGCTAAAATAGTTTGCATTTAAAGATAAGATCTCAAAACTACTAACTTGTTTTCAATTTTTATTGCTAATGAAACTAGCAGCTGTTCAGTAAATGATTCAATCGTTTACATTATACTACTCTCTAGACAGTAAAAATGCTACTTCAGATCCGCAATGCATGCATTAAAAACAGCTGTTTTTGCTGCAGCATGACGAAAAAATCGATCGAGAGCTGCAAAACCATTTCGGTCCGTGGTACGAACGCTATTTTTCGCCACACTTTACCCTATTACCTCTATTCACCATTATAATAATGCACACTGATGGTCAACACAACTACAACTTTAAGGTTATGTGAAGAAATAATTTGAGGAATCAGCAAAAATAAAAATAAATAGTTGCTAGGCAACGGTGACAATAACACAATTCTATTGCATTGCTATGGATTTTGATTGTGTATTTAAAATGCATTCATGTTTTAAGTAAGTAAGCGGGCAGCTGATTTTGCGGCCCCGGCCTGTAAAAACCTGCTCGGTCCCCAAATTACGATGACATCTGGCATAGCCAGCAAAACTTAACTTTCAGCCACCAATTAACGTATGTAATTCAGCCAAAAACATCATAGTGTGGTGAAAATATTATAAACTTAACAACAGCTGGCCTATATAATGCATAACATTCTTGTCTGTTTGTAACTTCATTGTGCACGTATTTAAAAATAATATAATTCAGCCTATATACTACTCTAATGTCTTGTGTTTTCACAGAAAGAAGAAACTGAAAACAAATTTGTAGGACAAAGAGGTCCAATTCGAAGAGGGTCCGCTTCTGGGAGGAATACTAGGAGTAGAGGAGGATACCCCTACTCTCGTTCCCAAGCTTAAGTCTATTGCTGCTTGATTTAAATACATACTTAACATTGTTATGCTCAAGTATATTTTTTACTTGTTACACCTGTCTTTTACTTTCCACATTGGTCATCCCCTTACAACCAGCTCCTTCCTCAGTAAGGCAGTTGTACCATTCGATGAAATGCAAATGACATGGACTCGCCCTCTTACTAAACCCCTCATAAATAAACTTAGCATTCACAAGTACACTAATCCCATAAAAACATTGTTTTGCTGATTACAAGTAACTTCATCGTTACTTCAGAACACACATCGTTCAGAAAAAAGCTTTCTTGTAACTTTATTCGCTGTGATTGAGTTGGTGTTATTGAAGGAGTCAAAGTGAAAAACATTTGTTGAAGCCACATTAACAAACAGTAAGCTCCAATGGAAAACATCAGAGTTCAGAGCTTCATGTGTGCCTACTGGATTATTACAAATGTAGAAAAATGCATATCATAAGCTAAGAAACGCAATTTGGATTCATTTACATCAACACTTTCAGGTTATTAATTTGACTCAAAGCAAGCCCTAGGAAAGCATTTTTTACATAAAAATATAAATATTTTACATTCTTACGCTTACTCCACTCACTGTATAATTTTGTATTAGGTCAATGTTTCATTAAAAAATTAACTGATAAAAAAACTTTACATCCAAAAGTAATAAATATAAAAATTGAACATCCAGCGGATCCTGCCAATTGAAAAGACACATTTCATTGGATCGGACTAACAAAAACTGACACAAAGAGAAAAAGTACAATAAACAAGTTTTGGCGGGCGGATTGGCGGCGCCAAGCGGAATTCTGGGTATTCGGAGATCCCGACTGACGCCACTCTATTGCTCTATACCACCTCGTGTTGCGATATTAAAACAATCTATGAATATGTTGATCTATTGTTTGAGTGAAGTGGTATGTTGACAATGGTGAGTTTATGTTATTCGATTAAATATAATCAGTTGATTTAAACTAAGTTGTACAGTAACTAAGTTCAACAGATGACGGTAATTCTAAAGCGTGGTTATTGATCAAGGTCAGCTGGTTGAGCCATTAAATCACTTTAACAATCTTTAATCTAACCTAACCTAACCTATTAGTTCTTCGTCCTATTTCATAGAGAGTACGGATTTACGTGCCAGATTTCGTATCCATAATTTAGAAAATGGTATGAAACAAAACCACCGATACACAATAGTGCCAGTGGTAACGTGTACAAGCGAAGGTAAAGACAAAGACACAAGAATCCGCCACTCACAGTAAGGGCTGTAAACCGGATGATCACTTCTGATCATCGTCTACCTGAGAGTCGCCGCTCACTGGAACCATTGACTATATAACCACATAGGCAATGCTGGAACTCACGCTTTTAAGGATCGAACCGGCAGCTATTGATTACAAGCGAATAAGTACCCACTCAGATAGCTAAATGTCTACCACTCATAAATTCACAGTGCACACTTCCAATGACTGTAATTTAAATAGCACTTCAATCGTTGGTAACCAGTTTATTAAATTGATCGTACAAACATAACACATATGATTTCAATAAGTTCTTGATAAACTTAATATTTTCCAGTAACTTTATTGTATCATAAACAATTATTGTTTTTTATCATTTGAATAAAAATTGCAATTATTTTCACTCACTTATTAAAACTTGTTATTTAAACATTTATTTATTCTGTACAAGTTAGTAATTCACCGTTATTGTTCTGAATATAGATTATAAAAAAAATGACTACCTTATCCAACCACGGTTGTTGGTATGACAACTAGTTTCGTTCCTTAGAACTTCATCAGGTCATTTTGTATGGAACATCATTGTGGTATATCAATAGAGTATTTTAAACAAACTGTCACAACCACAATAATTGAAATTTTATTTATGTTGATAAAATAGTTAAAATGGAATAAAAATTTCTAAAACTGATTAAAACTGCACAAACTGGCCAGCACTGTCTATCACTGCCACTGACTAAAAAACTGACTGAATCATGTGTCTTCTTCTCTCCTGTGTCACATGTATTTCAGTTAGTTTTGAATAAAATATTTTTAATAATATTGCCGTATACGAACTCAACCTCACAAATAAATAGGCCTAATAAGTCTCGAAGAAAAAAAACCTATTGGGTTAAATTGTTTTATAAACCAGACTGTTGTTATCTTTAAAATAAATATAGTAAATCTGTTATCTTGTGAATGTGATTTTAAAATAATAGAATGATATATTGAAGCACTTAGAACCATCTGAGGACGTCAGTTGTTAAAGTGGCCACATTTACTGTCGTCATCCAAGTAAATGTCTACCTCTTCACTCCTTATTGTGCTTAGTTTTCATGTGAAAAAAGTATTATTATATATTTATTCGGTTGAGCTTAGAGACAGAAAATTGCATAAGTTCTAACTTAAACGTTTTATTTTATATAATTTTGTATAATTATTAGAGGTCAAGCACGTGTTTTACTACAATTTCACACAACAATATTTTACCCGAACTGATGATTTGCATGGTGATGTGCATTATAGATAATTATAGATAATGTATTTTGGTAAATCCACCAATTTTTTTAAATTTATCTGCATACAAAATGTATTTTTTATTTGGTTTTCTATTACGGAACTTATCATAGTTGGATATTATTAAGCATAAATTCACTTAAATGAGAGTACGTCATTTTCTGTGCTTGGACCTAGTAAGCACGTTTGATTTTTTATCACATTATTGTTTTCAGAATAGAATCACTCAAATGCAATTTCATGGACACAATATAATCTTTTGTTAACATTTGGCAGTTAACTTGTCCGAAATATATTTACAAAGAAAATAATGAAAACCTATTTCAAACCATTCATATTTTTATCCTTTAAGGACTTTCTATTCAAAAAAGATTCACTATCAAATTAAAACTTATTTAAAAATAAAAATATAAAATGAAAATTACATTTCACTTAATATACAATGTACTATTTATTCATTTTATATTGTCTTTTTCACTATTATGGCTTATGAACATTGTTAGGCAAGGTATTGAATTTTGAATCCCACCCTTTTAAAGAAACACCACAAGATCAACGTTTTTCTTTGATCCGACAAGGGAATTGTTCCAGCGAACCAATTATATTGATCACACTGAAATGAACAATGGCGCTTCTAACGACTCCTAAGGGATTAGAAATATTACATCCGTATCTTTACATCCATGCCGAAACCTAAATATATCTTAAAGTATTGCAGGGTCAATCTCTCTTTAAAAATGTTTGTCCATCTACGAAATTTTCTTTTCTTTTTTAACCTATAAATCTTTTAATTTGAAAATCAGTCTATTTTTAACAGGATCATAACATTTAAGATGCAAAACTGTTCATGCTCTGTTTGTGCTAAAACATTATATTCATTCTAAGTTCAGTCAATCGTTCTAACGAATTAAATATTGTCTACATTATAATCGGTTTATAATTAAATAAATGCGAATAATTTTACTTACGAGAGTTTTCCAGTAGACTATAGGAATGACTTTTCCTACCTGAAACGTAAAAATATTCGTGTTACTTTATGAAATAGTCTTCATGTTTTAAGGAAATGAATGAAAACCCCTTGTATTCATTCTATTAAAGGCAATAGGACAATATGACCCCACTTCAGGCGTTTTTCCCATAAGAATAACATGGGGAAAATTTTTAGCCACTTGAAAAAACCCCTGATCTTTGCCTACATATCCCAATAATTGTCCAACCTAATAAATATTACTATTCCTTACTTATTCACTATATATATTCAAAATCAAGTTAAAAAGCTTTTTTTTCATTTATCGGCCCACACACGTGTAAATGTAAAGAAGAGGCAATACCACAAAGACACCTTACTTTAGGCCTTTTTTTCCATAAGAATAACATGGGGAGCTTTTTAGCCACTTGTTTAAAGACCCTGCTCTCGGCCTATACAAGCCCATACAAATGTTCAACAATCATGCAAAGAAAAAAGTACTCGAACTTTTCGATTTTTTTCTGTATCGTACACACGAAAAGCGTTATTTTGGGTAGCTAAAATTAGATACAATTTATCTTTATATTCATAAATATTTATTCATAAAAAGAACGTTGCTCAACATCAAAAACCAATAAAATAATAAGCTTGAGAATCGATGAATGTAGAATGTTGTGAGATGATCTGTGTAGCGTTACTGACTAAGATCAGCTGTTTCATCAGTAAGGACCATTTATTTAGAGCTCAATGATCAAGGACAGCTGGGTCTAATTTCGAACCATCAAAAAGCTACTGACTTTTCTCAGGATCGAACGACCTTTTGATTGTTAGTCGAGCATTATAACCACTCAGCTACCCGCCTAGTGATTACTAACTTTGTCCTACCTATTACACTAAAAATCTCGAAAAACTTAACCTAATTGTTTATGAATGAAAAACTATACACCGGATCGACAATTTTTAAAGTCTATTGCTGGTGAAAGACCGATTTGAAAACATCAAGCATATATTTTGTAATATTGCATGAGTTGGACTATTGACCAAATGTTGAACTTAGGTACATATTATTACATTTACAAATATACTTCGCAACCAAAACCCAACTACTTTAAGGAAATCTGTACATTGATTTCTACAACAATTCGATGAGGAATTATTCTAAAATATGCAAAAAGGAAAGCTCTATTTTAAGCATAACAGCACATTTTTAACTCAGTCAGTCTTAATATCGCGAAAATTTTAAACTGAACTACAAAACTGATACGAATTGCCTCTTCAACGGCTGTTCGAGCAACGAGGAAGCTACTTAAAACTTTGTTAAGTGCTTATACAGCAAGAAGATGGGATTGCTAAAGTATAAAATTCACTTGAGGTTTTCCACACTGGACCTGATTATTTACCACCAGGGATCATGATTAATTGTAAACGTAGCAAATTATATACGCGTGTTCAAATTATTAATAGTATTCATCGCTTATTCCCAAAATCAGTTCATACAAAAACTAA